CCCCCCCCCCCCCCCTCTATCGAAGCGGTCTGATACGTTCAGTATTAGCCCTTGGGCACGCTTGGAGGATCAGGGGACAGTATATGAGGTTGTAAGTACCTTACTTGCGGCTTTGGCTATATGTCATCACAAGTGCGCCTGCCTTATTTGTAGTTGGTAAGTGTATAACATAAACTCAGCCTCATGGTCCTTTAGAAAGCCGTAAGGCAGCAGGCCCGGATCATCCTCAATGCCTGGGCCTGAACTCACACAGGTACAATCCACAAGCGCAAACCATGTTCCAAGGGGTGAAGTGGATTTACGGTTTAGGATTGTGTTTTACGATTTCGAGTTTGTCTTCAGGATTTGGGATTTAAAGGTTTTGGAGGTTCTGGGTTTAGGGCGTGGGGTTTACGTTTTATGAGTGGGGAACGAGTGCAGTGGAGAGTGTTTCCGGTGTATATGCCTTGATCATGGGCGCAACACGAACGTCATAACTTTGGAGGCAAGGAAAACCTAAGCAATGTAGGGGCCTTAATAANNATTAGAATAGGGTGTTGGGGCATATTATACCATAATTACACTAAGGAACCCCCCGCAAAAAAAAAAATATGTAATTATGAAGGCCCTAAACCCTAAACCCTCAACCCTCAACCCTAAACCCTTAACCCTTAGATTAACCCTGAACCCTGCATCCTTCGAGCCTATAAGGCCCAGAGCGCACAGCGAGGAGCTTCAGAATGCGTGGGTTATCGACCGGCTTAGGGTTTAGGGTTCAGGGTTCAGGGTTTAGGGTTTAGGGTTTGGGGTTTAGGGGTTAAGGGTCGAGGGTTTAAGGGTCAAGGGTTTGGGGTTTGGGGTTTAGGGTTTAGGGTAAGTTATCGACAGGATGCGACGGAGCACATGGGGGTCCCGACGTAATTCTCAGGTGGGGCCAGATGTCCGGGTGATCTGTAATATAGGGGGGGCCTTTAACAATGAGAATACGGTTTGGGGGCCCACTATACTAAAATTATTGTAAGGAACTCCAAAAATCGTATTGGTAATAACTTAGGCCCCTGCAGTACTTCCCAGAGGTGATCCGCTGTAAGAACACGACAACCAGGAGTTTCTTACACTCTCAACTGAACAAGCCCTTAACCCTGAACCCCAAACCTGTAATCTAAATACACCCTACACCTAAACTCTAAACCCCTACAGCCCCAACTGGATTAACCCTAAACATTCAACCCTGAAACCTTAAACCTGAATTGCAGACAGCGTGCTGCGAAGGAGTTGCACAGCTCGTCGCAAACCCACTGCAGGTCACCTAAGCCACCCTAAACCCTAAACCCTAAACCCTAAACCCCAAACCCTAAACCCTAAACCCTCAACACCCTAAACCCCAAACCCCAAACAACCCATCAACTGGCTCCAGAGGTGCGATGAGGGTAGGTGGGATGATCCCCAACTAGGCACCCTAACATATACCAACAGCTCATCATAACAAGACGAAGAAGAACCCTCATAATTGTACTAGTAATAATTGTAATAATACAAAGACTATAATAATGCTACTGATACTACTAATAATAACAAGAACAAGCCCTGATCAAGAAATCCCGAGAACGGCTTACAACCCGTCCCTAACCCTAACCGCAACCCTTGAAAACCTAACCAAAGCCATTGCGGTCTGGTTGCCCTAAACCCTAAACCCTAACCGCAACCCTTGAAAACCTAACCAAAGCCATTGCGGTCTGGTTGCCCTAAACCCTAAGCCCTAAACCCTAACCGCAACCCTTGAAGACCTAACAAAAGCCATTGCGGTCTGGTTGCCCCAGTTACACCGGTGGAGGGACTCCACCCCGAGGCCGAAGTTATAGCCTTGGGGAGGAATCAGGGGGTTACTTAGGGTTTAGGGTTTAGGGTTCAGGACTTAAAGGATCATGGGACTGAGTAACTAAGGTTGGCCTTTGTTGTGGGGTTGCGGTTTGGTGCGTTAGGGGTTCCAGGCTCAAGACGCAGGATTCCAGAGCCAGGTTCCGGAATTTGGTTTAGGGTGTCCGCGGTAGGGCAGTTTAGTGCGTGATATAGAGGCGTTATGATTGGAATATGGTTTTGGGGGTATACTATGCTATAATCATAATAAGGA